AAGGGGATGCAGCAGCGCGACGTTTACACAGTCTACAGAAATCCCTACAATATCTGGCTGGCTATACATATACTTTTCTCCCTCAGCCTGAATAAAATAATAAAAAATATTATATAAATAATTAAACACAATCGAATACTCATATTTATTATAAATAATATAATAAAAAAAAACACAGACAAGGAGACAAAACTCACACAGAAACACACACACACACACAAAAAAAACAACACAAAGGCCACCGATGACAACACAGAAGCGGCCCCATAAAGGAGACAGGAAAGGGGGCAGCTGTAGACACCGCAAGCTCTAATAGAAAGGAGATAGATGAGGTATCTACAGCATAAACTCTGACGGAGCGTGATTGTCTCTCTCTCTCTGTCTCCGTCTCTGTCTCTGTCTCTGTCTCTGTAGTGTCTCGTCTTGCTGCAGCAGCGGCTGTTCGTGCTGCAGCTGGGCCTGTACTTGCTGCAGCAGCAGCTCTTCTCTCTGTACCAGCATGCCTGCTCCCGTTTCTGCTAGTTGTTTCTTTTCGCTGCTGACGATATGCTGTCTCTTTAAGCTGTAAAGAGACAGCCTGTATACCTTCTTGCTGCAGGAGGAGACAGGAGGAGACAGTCTCCTGTGTGTGTGTGGGTGCAGTGTATAACCCTCACCTTAATTTTGCTTAGTGTTGACCCCACACACCCCTCCAAGGCCGCAGCAACCGCGCGGCGCACGCACTTCTCCTGGGCGTTAGAGAAAATACCCTGGAGCGAACGCAAAGCCCCCAAGTGATATACTGTGGGGCNCACTTCTCCTGGGCGTTAGAGAAAATACCCTGGAGCGAACGCAAAGCCCCCAAGTGATATACTGTGGGGCAGTCCGCGAAGGTGCAGCAAAGCGCATGCAAAAAAGAATAAAATACCCTGAGATGCAGCAGCAACAAATATATTCATAGAAATAATAATAATAGAAAAAACAATAATAATAAAAACAATAATAATAGTAATAATAATAATAATAATAATTTTAATAGTAAACGCAACAACAACAACAACAATAAGAGACAGAGACACCTAGATATCCAAGAAGAGAAGCTTGGCTGCCAGGGGCCAGCAGAGAAGCTGGCGGAGGCAGCTCTGCATGCAAGAAAAAAAATTTTTTTTAGGAGAGATCATAGAGGCCACGGAGCGTGAGCTCTATGTTTCTAGCTGCGGCAGAGTGTGTTGTGTGTTGTGCATGCATGCAGGGGGCTGTGAAAGAAAAGCCCCAAAGGAAGGGGATTCAACATACCTATACCGGGATATATGGGCCCTGCAGTTTGCGCAGAGAGCCACCAAAGAGTAACAAGAAACCTCATACAGAAACTCCCCCCGCGGGCCTCGCGTCATAGCTTTCTCTATCGTGGGCCACGTCGCCTCCACTGCGTCCAACACGGGGTGTCTGTACGGACTGCGTGCTGCGCACAGTCGCCCCACAGACCTCTCTCTCTCTCTCTCTCTCAGGCCCTCGCCATGCAACACACTTCAGCTAGCTAACTAGCTAGCTAGCTAGCTAGCTAGCCACGCAGGTACTACATGCCGACCCAGCTAGCTACAAGGCTGCTCCTCGTGTCTGATTCCTTATGTGCTAGAAGCTAAGCCCAGAGAAGGTAAGGGGAAAGATCTGTGGTAGTTTGTTTGTATTTGTTTGTTCGTGTTGTGCTGCAGGCGCACTAAAAAAATTAAACACAATATATATATATATATATATATATATATATATATATATATATATATATATATATATATATAT